CCACCCTGCGGAGAAAACCCATCTCGGCCGCTTGTATCCGCGATCTCGTTCTTTCGGTCATGACCCATCCTTCATGACCATAGGTGAGGGTAGGATGAAAATGGCCCGGTAGACAGAGAGCTTTTCCTTCTGGCTCAGCTCTCTTTTCGTCACAACGGTGCGGTAAAGCGACTGCAGTACCGCTCCGATTCTCCGGCCCATCTCACGCTCCATTGTTCCCTCACTCAAGAACAAGACCCCGAGATACTTGAACTCCTTCACTTGGGGTAAGGACTCCAACAAAACGCCAGAATATTCCAAAAGTGTGTAAACATATTTATGGTGATGTGTGTGCTTTTCTCAATGGTTTGTCTATTGCACATGTTGGTTGTTTGCCTTATTAAGACCACTGACTGGAGGTTATTGTCACCAACATTATTGGTTTCTCAGAATGGCGGCTCTTCTAAAAACTCCAATGTTATGAAATTAATTTTCTAAGTACTGCTCCACATTTGACTGACATCCCATATTGTTCAATTTGGATCCATTGCCTCTGTACTCTCTGTCCCTGCCTTCATGTGATAAGTAGTCATTTAGCTTTTGGAAGATGAGTGGGTTTCCCTTTTTGAGGAGAAGTAGATGGAGGGAGAGAAAGGGAAGGGATCAGGGTGAGGCAGGGAGAATGGGTGAAAAAGGGGGTTCGAGATACAGTTGGAGAGTGGGAGTGTTCTGCTATCATTTTATAATTGGAGCCTATTTTTTCCACATACATTTAGAAGTGTATCATGTGACAAATTGAGCGTATGAAGAGTTGCTTTGAAGATGTGGTGGAGGTGATCTCTCAGCATGAGAAGATTATAAAAATGTAGCCAGTGGCAGCAGCGTCTGGGCGTCTTTCTGTGGATCCAGAGACCATGGTGCCCTCGGCCAAAGCTTTAAATAGAAGGGGAGTTAACTGTGTGTGGCATCGACAAAAACCCCATCCAGTGGCAAGGGCACCAACAATCTGGAGTCCTTCAAGATGGCTCTTAACTTTTGGTTCTTAAAGAGGAAATATGGTGCTCATTTTCAGGTGTATATCAGTATGTAGTGTCTCTACTTTAAAGAGTGCTCTCCTGCTGATGTTCAGGTGTATATCAGTATGTAGTGTGTCTACTTTAAAGAGTCCTCTCCTGCTGATGTTCAGGTGTATATCAGTATGTAGTGTCTCTACTTTAAAGAGTCCTCTCCAGCTGATGTTCAGGTGTATATCAGTATGTAGTGTCTCTACTTTAAAGAGTCCTCTACTGCTAATGTTCAGGTGTATATCAGTATGTCGTGTCTCTACTTTAAAGAGTCCTCTCCTGCTGATGTTCAGGTGTATATCAGTATGTAGTGTCTCTACATGTCTCCAGGCTTTAATGTTGAAAAAGCTCTTAATTCTTCTCATACTGCCTGTGCTGCAGCACCTCTTTTCACCCTCTGTCTGAAACCAAATCCCTTAGCCTATCACGTACAATGTGTTGGAGCGCTAGCCAAGAGAAGCGTTATATACGGATATCTTGACTTGCAATGATGTATAAATGTTGAATTTTTGGTTGATTCATGTTAAGTATTAGTTATAATACACCACTGCCTTTAAACACACTAAACAGAGAGGTATTTACTTTATATTTTATAAAACGATGCCATGGATGACTGCAGATGTCGTCTCGACTTCCACCCGGCGCTACATTTACACGGGTTGCCATCGACGAGGCAGTCTGTGGAATCAGCATTTATTCAACATTCAAAGCGACTGCCAGGATCCACTTCCCCCTTTTTACTGTTTATGATGTGAAGGTCTCGCAAAATGAATTTTCCGCAGAACAACAAATATATCATATGTTATATCTCCCGCTCATGAAAACGAAATGTCAAAATGTGACACTTATCCCGCTGAGAGACTCGATAAGAGGTAAAACCTGATAAAGCGAAACACATCAAGTCAAAATAGAGGCTTAGTCTGCTCCTGGGGAAATATCCACTCTCTTTTCCCTCTGAAGGGTTGTAACTTAGTTTCTCTTTCTCTCTTCTTTTGCTAACACGCTTTCTTTTAGAGCACATCAAGTGGAAAACATATTCTTAAAACACATTAATGCTAAGAGTAGGTCAACGTGGGTGAAACACTTCAAAATGATCGGCCTGTCAGCGAGTAATTTAACACTCTAATAAAGCTTTTGTTCTTAGTTCATGGAGCATTTTAGCACCAGCTCTGTACAAATAGAGAAGAGTAAATCACTAAGAACTAGTCACAAACAGTCCCTGACGTCCGTCTATTTACTAGGTCAAGAGTATTATAATAGTTATATATATATACTGATGTTGTAAAGTTAAATCTATAATATGTATTTGTCTGTGAGGTTAAGAGAGGAAGTGGTTACAGTATGCAGCAGCGTAGATAACATCAAACCCTTACATGCCGTCTCTTAATGACTCTTTTGACCATGTACCCTTGTGAGCTGTGAACCCTAATTTAATTTGATCGCATGTTGTTGATGATATTGGTGATGTTTTAATGTTGTTAATGATGTCAGGACTTATGTTCTAAATGTTGCTGTATTATTGTATTATTGTTTTAAGTGTCGGACCCCAGGAAGAGTAGCTTTTGTCGAGAGCAAAAGCTAATGGGGATCCTTAATAAACATAAACATAAAAAAAACACAATGCTTGAGTCGATCATATCAGTTCCTATAAATGTAACACTTTATAATAACAGTATCATTCATTATTAATTTGTATTGTTATTATTTCATTTATTTTTTAAGTAGGGGCAGGTAAAATAAGATGTTCTTCTTCAAAAAAAGTGTACATGTTTTGTTTTAAAATAACCATGTGTAGAATAAACAAATAAACTAAATTAATCGAAAAATTGCTTATTAGACTTTTGTGAAAAACATTTGTTGATTACCAAATGTTTGTTAGACATCCACAAAGACATACAGATAGATGGACCAGACAACAGTTGACCTAGTGATAACTATATCTACTGTAGCTGTGTATATGACATTCATTTCAATAACTACATCTAAATGTATAAAATGTTTCAGTGATAATTGATATTCTCATTGTCTGCACTATAGACAAAGCATGGTTGCTAAATAGCATACCTTTATTTCTGTATGCTAACCCAGTGTTTTTCAAAGTGGGGGCCCCGACCCCCCGGGGGGGCCGCCAGGGGGCGCCAGGGGGGGTCACGCAAAGTTTGAGGGAAAGGGGAATTTTTTTCTTTTTTTAAAGTTACATTTTTTTTGTAGATGTTATTAATAACTGCATATCTATCAATCTATGTCCTTTGATGCCAATCTTTTAATATTTTGTATTTATTAATATTTTTATTTTATTGTTTTTAAATCACACGACCGCCCTTCAAGCCAATCAGAATCGAGCTGCCGCTACTGCCAAAATGTCAAATGATATCTTCAACTATAAGGCAATCTCTCTCAATGACAGTAACCTTAAAGTCTGGTGATATTCCATATGTATATGTATTCCTTTATTTTAAAGCTGTTTAGGAAGAAATGGTGACACTAACTGTTCACTTTCTTTGTTTAGCTTAAGATATATGATTCTTAAATGACTGATTACACCAGTGGTGGGGTTAGACTTTTTCGCTGCCCATAATTTTGATGGAAAGGATCGTAAAATGTCCGTCAAAATCCACTATCACCCGTCGGTCTGTAGCCTACACAACTCTGACGGGAAGGGTAGAGAGGAGCACGCTCGTGAACTGTCAACGGGGGACGGGTGCCCACTGCACCTCGCGGGAGCGCGCACAGCGTGAAGCAAATACTCACAGACGTGTTAATGATTTGTACGGCAAAGTTAGGTTTGGAAACGATATCATTTCCTTTTTGGAGGGCATGCAGAACACCGGAGCCTCGCTGCGGGGAAGCTTTGGCGCTGTTCTGAGTTTGTTCTAATCATTTGTTCTGAATTTGTTCTAAAATATTCGGTTAACGCGACCACTGGATTACACATATTACAAATCCCTTATTTTAGGGTGTTTTATTCTATATTCATGCCAATACTTTTACAAAAGATGTTGATTGCAGGACTTTTAACTGACTATATGTACGTATTATTGCTACTTTTACTTGAGTAAAATATCCTCTACTTCTTCCACCAACTGTTTACAATATATTAAGGTTGATTTCCTGCACATTCACAGTTATTATTATACATTTAAATTCACTACATCCCCCATCCGGTCATCCATGACTTGATTTATTCATTCTAAGATTGTTCGATGTTAATACTTATGTAGCAGACTTGTGTACAGATCAAAATGTGTGGCTCATGTGAAGCCAATGCAGTTGCACTTTACAAAGGCTATTGATAGCTAATGTACTTTCAGGATTCTTTCTTGTGTGAGCTCTTCATGGTTGGATGCACTTCTTGTCAGTTGCCTTGGATAAAAACGAATTGAAATGTAATGTAACTGCAAACTGCTTTCGCATCACTTTCCCGCTGTTCCCCTCACTCTGTCTCTCTTTTCACCTTTTGTAACCGTCCGATGAAACTCCTGCATACATGTTGGGAAAATACTGAATGTCCTCTTCCAATCTGAGAGTCCACTTGATAACAAAGGTATCCCAACTGCAGCTGTGAACATGACAGGATGTGTGATTACCTAGAAGAGCATCAGGACTGTTTGAGGCAGATGATAGCTATGTGATTAACATGATGATTCAGCCTCTATGGAGATAGACATCAAGCATGCTCATTTCTGACGTGGAGCTAATCTGAAGTAAACATTGAATACTGCTTTCTACTCCTCCATCTTGTGACTGTGTAACTCCCTCTCTTGGATATCAGCATGTGAAGGACACTGTTCAGGAACTAGTGGATGCTCTGTATGTGATGACTACTTCCATTCTGGAGAGGATCACAGACACATGGATCCTGAGATTGAAGCTCAAGCCGGGGACCAGGGATATTTCTCTAACAATACATAATTCAGAAATGCCTCTCTGACCCCCGGTTTCTCTTCCTGTCCAAAGGGCTGAACCCATCCTGACCCGGATGAAGGAGGATCACACGCGCATCATCCTGCCCGCCATCGACAACATCAAGTACAACACGTTCGAGGTGCAGCAGTACGCCAACGCCGCCCACGGCTACAACTGGGGGCTGTGGTGCATGTACATCATCCCCCCCCAGGAGTGGCTGGACAACGGAGACGAGACGGCCCCTATCAGGTGAGGGAAGTAGGGCAGAGGTGGGAAGTAGTGGAGTACAAATACTTCAATACTGTACGCAAGTACATTTTTCAGTACTTTACTCCACTACTTATTTTTCTGACGACTTTTTACTTTGACTTCTTACATGTTGAACACAAATACCTGTACTTTCTACTTCTTACATGTTGAACACAAATACCTGTACTTTCTACTTCTTACATGTTGAACACAAATACCTGTACTTTCTACTTCTTACATGTTGAACTCAAATACCTGTACTTTCTACTTCTTACATGTTGAACCCAAATACCTGTACTTTCTACTTCTTACATGTTGAACCCAAATACCTGTACTTTCTACTCTTACATGTTGAACACAAATACCTCTACTTTCTACTTCTCACATGTTGAACACAAATACCTGTACTTTCTACTTCTCACATGTTGAACACAAATACCTGTACTTTCTACTTCTCACATGTTGAACTCAAATACCTGTACTTTCTACTTCTCACATGTTGAACTCAAATACCTGTACTTTCTACTTCTTACATGTTGAACTCAAATACCTGTACTTTCTACTTCTTACATGTTGAACCCAAATACCTGTACTTTCTACTTCTCACATGTTGAACACAAATACCTGTACTTTCTACTTCTCACATGTTGAACTCAAATACCTGTACTTTCTACTTCTCACATGTTGAACTCAAATACCTGTACTTTCTACTTCTTACATGTTGAACTCAAATACCTGTACTTTCTACTTCTCACATGTTGAACACAAATACCTGTACTTTCTACTTCTCACATGTTGAACTAAATACCTGTACTTTCTACTTCTCACATGTTGAACTCAAATACCTGTACTTTCTACTTCTCACATGTTGAACTCAAATACCTGTACTTTCTACTTCTTACATGTTGAACTCAAATACCTGTACTTTCTACTTCTTACATGTTGAACACAAATACCTGTACTTTCTACTTCTTACATGTTGAACTCAAATACCTGTACTTTCTACTTCTCACATTTCCCAAACAGCTGGTTCCTTTAGTCTGAATGTGTGTTTGATGCGTGATCATTATTCTTTAGAGTCATTGCGTGCCTATTGATTTGAACACGATCCGTGTATCCATCATTTCCTGGTCTTCTCTAAAGAAGAGGGACCAATGGAAACGTTGTCATGTTGCCGTTGTTCAGCATGGAACATTCATTAGCTAACAATGACATTATTGTTGTATTAATATAAAGGGAGGTCAGGTACTCTTTAAAGCAGCTGCTAGTTATGGGTACTTTTTACTGAAGTACATTTCAAAGGCTCTTTACTTTTACTTGAGTAAAGAAGTTTAGTCAGTACTTCTACTTTCACCAGAATATTTTTAAACACGAGTATCTGTACTTCTACGTGAGTAAATTAGTGTGTACTTCTACCCTCTCTGGCCCTACCAGGGGGAGCAGCATCTATTATTGATGAGGATGTTTGATGAAATATGGAGAGCTCAGGTTATGATTAATTCATGTGTGGAACCATCAAACTGGTGCTCTGTCGACCGAGTGCCACCCAATCACACAAATAGAGCCCAAGCTGTCTAATTACTGTGATGAATCTGTTATACTGTGATGCAGGGGCAGAGTGGGGGGGTCATTCGTGTCCTTGTATGTTGAATATGAGCAAGGCATTCGGTTATAGCTCCGCTGAGTGGACGGCAGCACGGCTTGTATCGTGTTTCTGTATAATCCTCCAATTGATTACTTGGGTCCTTTGTACAAATTGCATTGGACTTTATATGTTAGGAGGATCGTGTTGCATATATATTATTTTCCAATCAATCAATCAATTGGACAGGGCAGGCTTAGTATCATGAACTATTCACAGAGTTCATCCTATTAAAGTGATTTCCTTCCCCTTTATGTTGTTCTCCTGTGACTGACATCAACACATTGAAGTCAAATATATGTGTTGAAATCTATGGCTGCACAATATAACAACATTTTATGAAAATCGCAAAATGGATTAGTGCAAAAACGCAATAGCAGGAAACAAAATATTTGGCAACATGTGTTAAAATATAATTCTGTATGAAGTGTTGTGGAGCTGCAGAGAGATCCCAGCCTACAAATCATTTTCTACAGACTAGATACAATTGTTGAGGACGGATCCTCTTAAGAAATCACAAGATAATCATTTTTTAATATATTTTTTATAATAATAATGAGACATTTTATATACGAAAATCATCAATCCCTCTAATTTCGCACTTGCAATATCAATCAAAAAGATCACAATTAGGTTTTTTCAAATGATGCAGCGATAGTTACATCTTGTGGTCGCACTATATGTTTTGTGCAACAACTGTTATGATATAAATAACAGAAACACAAACCTTTGCACTGTAAAACAAAGGCTATAATGTTTAAGTCCACAATGCTGCGTTTTTGACTACACAGGTTTTACTAAAAAAATGTCAAGCAGAAACACGTTGTTTTGAATGTCGTTGATTCAATCGATCGCTTCTACATGTTTATATCCAATCACAAGCAGCTACACTAAACAAAAGCCCAATTTAAAATACACACACTAAGATATTGTTAGAATGCAGTCATCGAAACTCTACACCTCCTGCAAACGTTTTATGTTAAAACTCTACCAAAAAACCTGCAAAATCAACAGAAAGTGTTGGATATCAATGTAGGATTAACAAAGCTAAAATAATGAGACATTGGGAGTCACGTTTATCACAGATAACTTGTCTTTTAGGGCTACAATTAAGCACGATATGCCATTACGATAAGAACATCTTACAATGCCATGGCTGTGTGTCTGAAACCAACATTAGTATCTGCTAACATACATGTGTTGTCTTTTATTGATACTTGTTGATACTATTCAATATCTCTAGCTGTTGGAATGAAGTATAAGGGGGCAGTATGCACATATCAAATGTGTTTCTGCCCATTAAAATGCAGTTCAACTTAATAATGTAGCTGCCTCAAGGTTGCAGGGTTAACACTAAAATGCCCCTGAGCTCTGATCTCTCTGATGAAATAAATAAATGCATGGATTTCAGCGAATACTGCACGGCAATAATCAGCAGTATGTTTTCTAATGATATGTTTAAAACCTCCTGAAGGACACATCTAACATTTAATTTGCTATATTATGTGGAGAAACTCAAACTTGTTGTTTGTTATTAATGTGCTGAGGCCAGAGCGGCTGCAGGAGAATTGTTAAAGGTCAAGCTGGAGTGAAGAGGCCCGGTTATTATTTTTTAAATGTTCCATATTCATGACATGCTGGATTGCTAATGTGCCTGTGGGCTAGAAGCACTGCTATTGTTGTTTTAGCGCTATTCAAGCTTGAGGTCAGATCTGAGGTGAAAACCGAGTGGTATATGAAAAGTTTTATACGAAAATGTGTTTTTGCCTCTGACTCACTCTCAAGCGCCTAGATGTCAGAGAGACGTGGTGAAGTGATCATTATTTATTGAGCAGTATACTCTTTCACATTGAATCATAACAAGTCTACTGAATATAAATACAACTGACTCTAAAGTAAGTCCCAGTCTGTGACATTGGACATTTTGAAGACTCAAAGTCCCAAGCAGTAGGTAGAGTATTAGCTATCTATGTAATGTGCACAGAAAATAAATAGTTAACTGAATACTGGGATGGAAATGGCCTAAGCACTCAGTAAAACATAAACACACACACAGCTTCTGAATGATAAGAAGTATAATTAAAACACACGGTTGTTGTGTTGTGTGTGCTGTTCATCGTCACTGTCCCTGGATTCCTGACGGTTCTGGCCACTTGGCTGAATGGCTGAATTCCTCCATCCAATCTCTCCACATTGCTCAAAACTTCTTCCTCGGCTGACGAGTCCGAACTCAAATACTCCGCCATGTTTTCGTCGAATGAGCTGTTCGTGTGTTTACAAAGTGAACGCATAGATGACGTCACGACCTAGTTTTTCGGATCACGTGACTACTGAAAATGGCCAAAATGGCAGCTGCCTGACGGAATATACAGGTTTTGATAAAAAAGAGCTATAAAATCATTATTTACCGGAATATCGCTGATTTCTTCAGGGTATGGTTTAAACATAATGTTTCACTAAATACTGAAGTTTTTATTAACTATCTAATGACTGGAGCCTTCCTTTAACGATACCCATCCCTAATTGAATGTCTCCATGAAGATCACATATTATTGAGCATACAGGATGTAACCGGTGTCGATTTGCGGTGTCTGCGTTGCGTTTATGTTGTTGATGGATGAGACCCGAGCCGATCCCCACAAAAATAATCTTCTGAGTACAGTGACTGCATGTTGGAGGTTCCGCCCACTGATTTCAGACCTAGTCAGATATTTAACATTTAATAAATGAAGAACACAGAATTATTAAATACAAAACACAGAATTTGTGTGATTTTACTAAATTATTTACAAATACATATGTTAAGGTCACCTATTATGCAAAATCACTTCTTCATGTCTCTTCTACATCAACATGTGTCCCCTCTTCTCCATGTCTCTTCTACATCAACATGTGTCCCCTCTTCTTCATGTCTCTTCTACATCAACATGTGTCCCCTCTTCTCCATGTCTCTTCTACATCAACATGTGTCCCCTCTTCTTCATGTCTCTTCTACATCAACATGTGTCCCCTCTTCTCCATGTCTCTTCTACATCAACATGTGTCCCCTCTTCTTCATGTCTCTTCTACATCAACATGTGTCCCCTCTTCTCCATGTCTCTTCTACATCAACATGTGTCCCCTCTTCTTCATGTCTCTTCTACATCAACATGTGTCCCCTCTTCTTCATGTCTCTTCTACATCAACATGTGTCCCCTCTTCTTCACCTCTCTTCTACATCAACATGTGTCCCCTCTTCTCCATGTCTCTTCTACATCAATATGTGTCCCCTCTTCTTCATGTCTCTTCTACATCAACATGTGTCCCCTCTTCTTCATGTCTCTTCTACATCAGCATGTGTCCCCTCTTCTTCATGTCT